GAATATACGTCATTATCAGTTTTGAAGAGTTCGACAATTAAAGACTTCATGGTTTTTTTTGCTTTGGTTAATTTTTAGTCTGAGTTTCATCGAAAGGCTCTTAGTTATTCGTCATCACCCGTTTGTTTTCGGTAGCTTCAGCGGAGTTCAACAAGAGACCGTGTTGTCATCTCTGATTCATTCACTGTTTAACTATCAGAGAACGAAAGTTTCTCCGTAGTACATAAGTGCAAGCGACGGAACATCTGTACGGCTGCGTCTCTGTTTGCTGTGTTGCTCTGCTTCACAGTCATGTGAAAATGTTAGTTTGTAATTCTACTTATGTCGAATCTGGTGGTAATTGGTTTGGAGCGATACCGATGTGGCTAGCAGAGCCTTGGAGAAAGCTTCCGGCCTGTCCATCGTCATTATTCCAACTCTGCAAAATGTGCAGTAGAGAAGTGTGAAATGGCGCACTACCATGCGCATAATCAAGAGATCGATTCAATGTATGATACTCTTGAGGCCAACTGAGCTATCCATCTCACTGACGACGCTTATTTGTTATCATGCGCTCTCTGGAGTGTGTAAAAGTTGTCACTGCACAGTCCAAACCTTTAATCAAGTGATATTATGGTTCTGAATAGGAACCGAACGCTTGGAAGCATCCTAGAACAGGCTCATTAGGGCTGAAAAACTTCATCTTCATCCGTTACTCAGCTAAGCTCGATGTTTGGGTTGCTCTGATCACATGTCTGTATACTAATTGTAAGTAGTCCGAACTGGTTTATCTACCGTTACACGGCATCTGGGCTCAGCTTGGATGCAAATCTGAAAGTTACCCGAGCAACCAAAACTGGATTGGGATGAATGTGCTCTCGAACATCAGCGATTTGATTGGGAGGCCTCAAATCAAACCAATCATTTCACGCCCCAGAACGTTGCACGCATGTAACAAGTTTTTAGTTTATATGTTTATATGAGGAATTTCAAACTGGCTGTTACTACTTGTCATACATTTTCTTTCAAAAGCCATCGCTCATTTTCTATGTTCCAGCTGAACCCTGATGTCAACCCTTTCCAAAGAACGTTTGTGCGACACATTCGGCGATATGATGAAATGGAAAGGAAACTGAGTCAGTGACCCAGAGAAAACACCCTTTTTGTCCAATTTGTTAAGGATTTCGTGTTTTGAACAACACCGTTGTAGGGTTTTTGGAGTCGCAAATTACAAAGGATGAGATACCGATCGCTGGGAGATTGGTTCAGGGAGACTACACTGTAATGCCAACTGCAGAGTTGAACCAACTTGAGGTCTGACCTCTGTCTGATATAATTCATGCTAATTAATCCACCGAGAGTTAATGAAGACAGTGGTCATTACAATTTAGACGACTCTCACTGATCTCGAGAGGGATGTTCAAAACATGAACGAATCCGATGCCCAACTCAAAAAGAACTATATGGAGTTGAAGGAGTGGGACGCAGTCCTCGAGAAAACCGACGAATTCTTCCATGGGGTGAGTTCTGTTCTCTTATCCAGAACTCTTGCCTCGGTGTGAATTTCCATTAACCCAAAGAATTTCAAAGTTTTCAAGGGGCTGGACGATCAAGCGGCTGAAGAACTCGATATTCAAGAGGAAGAGTATGGCAAAGGCGAAAAAGCACCGATAAGGTTTGTCTACAGAGGTTTTAGTCGTTCTGGTATTCCTCTGCCGTGAAGAAGTATATTTGAATTCCTCAGCAATTTTCGTGGTTCTAGTTTTAAGAATTTTTTTTAAGAAATCATTTCCGCATCAGAAATGCTGAGAATTGGAAATGGAAATGGAAATTAGGATGATTTTTCGAGACTGATCACAAAGAGTGAATACTTCGGGCTCTGCTTCTTCAAACCGTGTGTTTAGACCAGGGCCCTTATATTATTTTCTAATTGGTGCCCTTTCTGAGCTTCATTCAAGATTGTTTCGTGTACTTCCTTATAATAATTCGTTGGGATACTTTGATCTTCACACCTCCAATTACTGGTCTTGATGGTAGGTCATAAGTAAAACTGGAAATAGGAAACGAACTCAAACTCCCGGAAATCGCATGGATCGTGAGCAGTGATGAAAATGCCTGATAGTGAAAATGCACAAAAATCGAAGGGAAACGATTCAATTGGCTCAACTATGACATGTTGCTCTGAAGACTCGTTCCCCTGATAGCCTCAAGTGAGTGTACAGGAGTATAATAGAAAGTCAGCGATCACTGAGGGCTCCCTAGCGTTCCCACGTACATTCACACAGGGCTATGTCTAGGATGTGGCGATTGATTCAAAAAATTTCGGAGATGGAAACCAAATTTCAAACATTACTCAGATGCAGGTCTGTAACGTATGCAAATTATCGAGTCCTACCCACTACGAAAGGTCGTAGAGCTCTCCTTCCACCGGCTCCGGTTTCATATATGCTACATTATGCACTTCTGGGGTTTCTATAAGCTTCCTACAGAAATTTCTGCAGAATCTCATAATTCATTTTCATGGGAAAAAACTTCGCACTCCTCACAACCAGTGCATAAAACAACAAGGGTCCCTATCCATATAAATTAGCGTACGGTTTATGGAAGAAGTCATATGAGGTAGCAGCAAGGAAGCAGTCTACCGAGTCGACCCGGATAGAACGACAAGGGTGAAGACTCAGTGATACTAGCTGAGCAGGAGAACGATAGTAGTGGAAACTAATAGGTTGATGCATAGTTATTGCGGATTTTTGCGGGCTTCTTTTCTCTCGATATAATTTAAATATTGAGTTTGGGTTTTCTATAGTAACGATCTCCATATTTTTTCTACAGAATTGTGTCTAAAAAACCATTCGCAGATTTGCTAAA